ATTGTGTGAGTAACGCATTTAAAACGACGTAGATCATCAAAATCAAATCATCGTAAAATGACGTAAGCACAAGCTAAGTCCTTCGAGGGTGGTCGCCCTCGCGTCACGGCGGCGTTGATCAAGGCTCTGACGAAGGCGAAGAAGCCGAAACGTTAGCCTAATAAAGTTACCTAATCTTGGACGGCTACAATCAAGTACTCATCTGATCCAAACAATGCCAAGATTAAAAGAAGTCGATCCTGGACGTAAATCATCTTTTTTATGTTAAACGGAAAGAAGCCTCAGGTGGGAGGCGAGACACAAGAGCGTGAGCAGTTTTCATTTCCCCGAAACTCTGTCCCTCCTAGGCTTAGCCCTGAAGGATGCCCCCTATTTTGCGATAGCGCCTTTTGTTGTTGAAACATGATTCTAGGCCATCCTTTATTCAAGAGTCGCGCTTTCGAGTAGAGGTTGCCTTGCATGGTAACGAACGTTTTTCACAAGTCCTTAGAAAGTAACCAATTGGAGTTAGATGCTTGAATTTTGAAAACAATTAGCAACACCGATCATCACTCTACATTCTCATCCTTACCTCTCGAACCTCACATTCGGCGTCTGATTTTGCCGTAGAACCATTACGATTAGTTTCTTGATGGGCTAAGGTAATGTAAGCAGATGTTCATACAGAGCAACTGGTTTCAGTGACGAGTAGTTCTCTTGCAAATTACACGCCAAGCTTTCATAATCATAAGCTTTGAACTGGTACATGTGGCATGTAGGGGACTAACCGAAAAGGCCTTTTAGGACATGGAGCGCTTTTTCGAAACGGTTTTCTGCATATTGTAGGGGCTCATGCGAGGAACACAGAACCATGATCCATTTTCCTGAACGCCTCCAGGAATGTCAAAACAGTGGTGAAGAAATGGTCCAGAGTTCGATCCCCGGTGATGACTAATTTTTGCAATATAGTTTGGCGCCCCCAGATTGCCGCCAAATGGCGCCATCGTCGAGTATGATCAGGCATGTTATAAGCCGCAACATAAATTGCAAAATTTGTCGTCACGGGGGATCGAACTTTGGACCATTTCTTCCCGCTCTTCTTGACATACCCGGGGGCGTTCAGGAAAAATGAACCATGGTTCTGTGTTCCTCACATGAGCCTCTACAACATTCAGGTAACCATTTTGAAAAACCATGTCCTGAAAGACCCCCCCCCCCAACTTGTAAGCAGACAAGACAAGTGTCCGCAACATGGATTTTGCTTGCCACTGGGTAAGGCCGATGTCAATCGAATCGCGATTCGCAAAGTCTGACATCGGCCTAAGATGGGCGGTGATGGCCACAATCGTCCATTGGCACTCATCAAAGCACTTAGTCACTTTCATGTGTCCTAACTAGAATGAGTGAGGACGGATTAATTTCGAATTGATAAGGCCAACTCAAATCTTACTAGAAAAACAATTCAAAACTTTCTTTTATTTGGATGAGAGGGCAGGATTTTTTATTAATGGCCTATTTACGATACTTTTCGATGTGTTAACCGCAAAAATACCTTCTTGAAAATTACCATATTGACCTCAACAAAACATTTTTATAGCATAGCATATGTACAGGAAAGGAACAACAATACTGTAATCTAAGCGAGGCGATTGTCAGGAGACGTTAACTGGTACTGTGATAGCATAGACACTGCCTTTGGAAGCAGTCGTCGCCACCTTCGTCTTTTTCTCGTCAGACCGCCGCTGAAGTCGTGAATTCAGCCGTTCTACGTACGGAGTGGTGACAGCCAACACAATCGGAAGAAGCACCAAAGCGTGGATTACCCCTGGAGTGAGAAAAATTAGGAGGATTTCTTCAAGCTCTGAAAAGTAAGGTGGGCAGGGCAAACTGACCGATGACGAGCACCAAGAAAATGGTTTTGAAGAAGACAAGCACCATGTACGAGTTGATAAATGCCAGCACTGTGACGCCAAGAATGGTTGACATACTGCCGTGTACTACTGTAATTTATAATTATAAATCAGCGGAAGTACAATAATGATCTCGAAAAACACATCACACCCCCTACAACCTACGGTGTCATCCCTACAGATCTATGGGTACAGTCCTTCAGAGAATGTTGTAGGCAGTTGTTGACGTGGTAACCCGTGGTTATAAACTCAGGTCACGGGTTGTACTACGAATGACACTTCTCCATCATTATTGCGCCCCATTAGGGAGATCTAGCCTAACGTAACGTTCTGCCACTTCTTCTCCCGACACAATTGAAGATGAAGCCTGTCCTTTCTACCTGGCCTGGATGAGCCACGTTGAGGATTCTTTCGTGAAAGAAGTACATGGATGTTTGGAAGGTCCATAGTGTGTGAAAGTGGCTGTAAGTTTTCGAAATTGGGAGAGTAATATTCAACTGTAGCGTAGTGGACCCTTGGAAATATTTATTAGAACTTTCAAGAAGGTTGCACAAAATTTCGTGAAGTTTTGAAAGTTTGTAGAGAAAATGGAAATTGAAGGAGGAATTCACGATAAGAACGAAGGTCAAAGAAGGGGAAATTGCATAGTTGGGAGAAGGCGGACCTCCTGAGGGCTGACCGACGCGCAATTGGCAGCGAAAGATTTGACCTCGGCGATCTAGCATGGCTCACTCTTGGCGCGGTTGGCGGGGTACGCCCACCGACTATCTAATCACTCGCCGCAGGTCTATACGTGGTTAGATAGCAGAGAGAGAGTAGTGTTGAAGAGGGCACAGCGATGAGAGTCGCATCAATGCGCAAATCAACGGGCAAGGAAGGGGTCCCATTTCTCGGGTTTCGGGCCGTTTCAAATGGTTTCTTCTTCATCCCTGCTCCACTGACCACCTCTACCCTTATTTCCAATGAGCTAACTTTTCATCGTAAATTCTGCCTTTAAGAATTTCTGGACTGCACAATAAACCCATGATTTTCTACATGTGACGGACAATGCTTAGATATGGTCAGGTATTCTTAGGTAGGATGGGATTAGGACCTGGAGACGAAGGTGAGCTGTGGGAGCTAGGCGTGGAGGAGAGCAAAGTGCAGGCGGATTACCCTCTGTATGTGATTCACCCTTGTCCCGGCTCTAGTATCCTGCTCAGAAGACCAATCAAACTCCTCGTTTGACACAAAAAAGTCGTTCTTCAAGCTCACATGGGTCTGAAGACACAATGCTTCGAAAGCGTGTGCGGTGACTAACAAAAGACAGTGGCGGCGACATACACCTTCTAGTAGGTGAAAGAGCTTTGCTGTCTCCCTCCGGATTTTTCTAGAGCTCTGAAGAGCAATTTTTCGTTGAAGATGAAGCGCCTGGTTTACTCTTTTGAGGCCCAAAGCCTCTGAACGCACAGTGTTCAAAGGCTTATTCAATCCACGTATTGTCCGAGAGTAAGGTAAAAAGTCAAGGATTAAAAACAGTTCATTAAAGCCACCAGTCGGGATTGGGTGCCAGGAGGTACCTCTTGCTAGAGTGAGAGGTGGTCTCCCAAGCACAGGAGGACACTTTTCCGACTCAAAAGTGCGTGGCAAAGGCGTTAAGGCATT